CTCTCCCGCCCTCTCCCTTTCTCTTCGAAACTAATAAAAATGTATTTCAAAAAATAAAAATCATATAACAGGGACTGTTACATAACTTGAGAGATATAAAAGTTTTGGCTCATACCCTTGGCTACTCTTGGAGGGTTTTCTAGCCAAAGCCAGGCTGGGCAGAGCGTCCTCTGGGAAGAAAAGGTCAGTATATGCTCAGTGAAGTGAGTATTCTTTCACTTTTTCTGGAGAAGGCAGTCCAGGAAAAAAAAAGACTTGAGAACCACCAGGCAGCATTTGGGTGGTGATGACACCTTGCTTCTGCCAAATTCAGACGGTGACCTGCACTCTTAGAGGCCCTTAGACATATCTGCATATGTTGTAAATACGCTGCACATGCACTTGCATCTCTCAGAGATGGCCCCTGGCTAAGAGGTGCTGGAAAGTATTTGGGAATTCTGATCTCCATCGAGTTGTGTTGTAAAAGAAGAGATGTTTATTGCTACATTTTAACCTTTGAATGAGCTTAGAACATCACACTGGAAAAAGGTTTTAGTTAAAACTTTACAGATTTTCTCTAAAATATATATTTATTGGTTTCATAAATGGAGTCAGGGAGAGGGAGATAGAAACATCAATGATGAGAGAGAATCAATGATCAGTTGCTTACTGCACGCCGCCTACTGAGGATGGAGCCCACAACCCGGGCATGTGCCTTTACCGGGAGTTGAATCGTGACCTGCTAGTTCACAGGTCGAAGCTCAACCCCGGAGCCACACCGGCTGGGCAAAACTTGACAGATTTTAAAGGAAAAAATGAGCACCTCTCTGATAAAAGTTTAAGGATTGGATGCAAAATATTAGCCAAAGAGCTAAAAACTCCAACTGGCATTCTCTGCAGTGGTTACCCAGTGGAGATCATGAATTAGAAAGCGGAGGTTCAGTAGAGAACCTGAAACTTGGCAACGGGTTGCTATCCCTCACCTTGATCCATAAATTAATGGTTCATTCGAGAGCTTGTAGCAGGCACCCAGGATTTAGCAAACGAGAGTCTTACTCCAAACTTAACTCTCCATAACTAAAAAAGAAAAAAGAAAACAAACCCAAATTATTAGTGATGTAATGAATCATTTTGACTTATGACCTGTGTCCTAGAAGTGCCACTGGGCGATGTCATGGCTTGCTGCAGTGTCCCTAGGTAGGAGAGAACAACCATTGTGCGGGAGAGGCCCGAGACATGTGGTTGTCCGGCAACAGTTACATGTCAAATAGCAATTTGCAACTCAGATCCCCAGAGAAGGCTTGTTTTCCTCTCCTGTCTGTTCAGTGATTTAACTGAGGGCAGATGTCCTCATTTAAGGGCCACTGGCACATCAGAGTATGTTTTCTGAGCCTGGAAAGGGGCTAACCCCTTTTGGACATTGACCAAAATATGTATTCTAGTTAGCTCACCCCTCCTATTTGTGACAGCGGAAGGGGTGAGAAGCACAGAGGCCCCAAGGTCCCCTTAAGACTGTACACCAGCGGGACATCCTTTTTAGCACCAGTTATTTCCAATCAAGGAATTCCATATGTCAGGAATGTAACATCAGAAAGTGAGATTTGGCTACATGTCGAACCATTGGTATTGTTAGCCTTTAAAGCAGTGGTTCTCAATCTTCATGATGCCGCGACCCTTTAATACAGTTCCTCATGTTGTGGTGACCCCCAACCATAAAATTATTTTCGTTGCTACTTCATAACTGTAATGTTGCTACTGTTATGAATCGTAATGTAAATATCTGATATGCAGGATGTATTTAGGCGACCCCTGTGAAAGGGTCGTTCGGCCCCCAAAGGGGTTGCGACCCACAGGTTTAGAACCGCTGCTTTAAAGGATGTTTCTTGATTTCTCTTGGCTGTACCAGATCATATGGTGAATTAGGGCATGGCTGGTTTGTATGGACCTTGGATTACTCCTGAGAAAGAAACCCATAGGGGAGTGAATAGAAGCAGCGATCAGGGAAGAGAGGTTTGAAGAAGTCTCCAGTTAGGTTGATAGACGTGTGCTAGGAGGGAAGGGGGACCCTTAATCCCAGGTATAAAGTAACAGGTGAGCCTGGAAAGTCACTCGAAGGTCCAGAGTTAATCTGGCTCCTCCACCCTGCTGCCCGGCTGACCTCCGAGGTGCTCTCATCCTCTTCTGAGCCCTCCAAGGGCTCTGTTATCTGTAGAGCCATGCCCGTAATATAGAGAGTGTGCTGAGAAATACAGGAGAGGCAGTGAATCCCACTTGGCGATGCTGCCCAACCTACGTTTAGTCTAGATTTGTATTTTTCACGTCCATGCTGCCAGTCACTCGTGTAAACCTGGCTAACATCTTTTGAGACCGATTGTGTAATTTCTCTGCTCCCTCTCAGAGGGCAGTATGTGTATAAAGGTCTCCCCAAACCACTAAATGATTAACAGTGACTTGGACTGTTTAACAAGGTCAGACTAAAGCATTGACCTCTGTTTTGTAGGTAAGAGGCTAAGACGCCAGTGAAGAGATTTCTCAAGGAAAGAAATTGTACAAAGAAACTGAAGTAGAGACTTGCAGGATCAGAGGGTTTTTTTTTTTTCTTTTCTTTTTTTTCTATTAAGGGTCACTGACAAAGGCGGGGAAAATACATGTAGGTAAAAAGCAACTTAATGGAGTGCTTTATTTTGAGAGATCCCACACCTCCTGGGATAATGGCAGGATTATGACTTTTGACCCCAGGTAGCATGGGTGCAGCACCCCTCAAACCACCCCAACCCCCTTCTGCTGGCTCCTAGTTGTGTAGCCTCAGCACCCTAAGCTCTCTGTGGCTCAGTCTCCCCATCAGAAATAAAAGGCCATTATGTTTATCTCAGATTGTTCTGAGGATTAAATTAGATACAATTTGTGAAAGCTAGTGCCTAGGAGGCACTCGACAAAGGCAGTTTCTCTTCCTTCTTTCTCTTCTGCTTTTAAAAATTAAGATGTGGGCATATGATCAACGAATAAAATAAAGCACATTTCAGTGTGGAATTTGGAGAAAGGCCAGAGAAGAGAGCAAACAGACGCGGGAACCAACCAGAAGCGGCAGGTTCACCAGCTCGGCAAGTCCCGCAGGCTGTGGAAGGTGTCAGTTCACAAACCAAATAAAAAAAGTATTTTTCACATTAACAAAAAAGAAAAGAAGGCTGATAAAAACATCGTCAGTCTGTGAGCCGGATATTTCAGGCTCCATCTGGAGACTGGAAGCCCAGGAATTTTGGAAATAGGACTTTTTCTTAATTTTCAAAGGTAGAAACCTCAAACTTCCTGTTGTGGAAAGTGGGGGTGGCTACTGGTTTTTTGGTCTAGAAAAGGTTGTTTCTTTTCTCTGGATGGATGCTGCCCTCTGATGTCTCTCAGCGGTTCTGCGGCCTCACCTCTAGCTCTTGGTCCACGGAATTAAATGGAGAGTCAGAGGTTCTTTTTTTCTTTTTCTTTTTAAAATATATTTTATTGATTTTTTACAGAGAGGAAGGGAGAGGGATAGAGAGTTAGAAACATCAATCAGCTGCCTCCTGCACACCTCCTACTAAGGATATGCCTGCAACCAAGGAACATGCCCTTGACCGGAATCGAACTTGGGACCTTTCAGTCTGCAGGCTGATGCTCTATCCACTGGACCAAACCAGTTAGGATGAGTTAGAGATTCTTGTTTCTGGCTTGAGGCTTCAAGGATGAAGGGAGGTGAGTGGGTTGTAAAAACCGAGTTAGTTGGATGTACATTTTTTTTGGCCAAGAATTTACTTCTCACAGTCTTCTCCCTTTTCATTATAATAAAGCTTTTCGCCATAGTGTTGTTACTGGCTGTAAAGTCACCAGACAGCTGAACCGGAGCTCCTTAGGGTGCTGGGACTCTGACCTTGTTCTTACCTTTTCTCTCCTTTCTGGGGAATTCCTGGTGGAGATACTATGCTCTCTGCTTTCAGCCCTAGAAGCTCTGAGTAAAAGACTTGTAAAACCCCCTTTTCTGTCACACTTGGCAGGTTGCGAAGAGCTTCTACAGCAGGGGTGGGGAACCCTTTTTCTCCCAAGGGCCATTTGGATATTTATAACATCATTCTAGGGCAGTGGTTGGCAAACTGCGGCTCGCGAGCCACATGCGGCTCTTTGGCCCATTGAGTGTGGCTCTTCCACAGAATACCAACTTCTGCGCATGGGCCATGAAGTTTTAATCTCACTGTACGTGCGTGCCCGCACGTGGTATTCTGTGGAAGAGCCACACTCAAGGGGCCAAAGAGCCGCATGTGGCTTGAGAACCGCAGTTTGCCGACCACTGGGTATACCATCTAGGTTTGTATAAGTGCGCGCTGATGTTTGCAGACGTATCCTCATCGTTAAGCAGTGCGTGACTGTATCAGATATCAGAACCTGACCTGGGGTGTGTGTGTGTGTGTGTGTGTGTGTGTGTGTGTGTGTGCGCGCGTGCGTGCTGAGGCTGAGCTCAGGATGCTGCCTGTGGGCAGAGCAGGTCAAACAGCACAACACTGGCTACAGCCCCCAGGTATCATAATAAAGGGCTTGTTAAATTAACAGTGATGCATCTGCCTAGGAAGATACTCTGTGGTTTCTAAAAGGGTTTTTATCAAATGACATTGACTGATGCAGTTCAATCTATACAAGCTACTGAGTGAAAATGTAGTTTACCAAGCCATGGTCCCGTTTTTGTAGGAGTAAAAGCATGGAATGCTATATAGCGAAAGCAGGTGTCCCTGGGAGGCAGCTTCTTGAGTGTGTGTGTGTGTGTGTGTGTGTGCGCGCACACGCACACTTATCAGTATTTTCTAAATGTCCTACGAGAAGTGGGTATTACTTCTATAAAAAGAAAAATATTGTAAAAGTTACCATCAAACGTTTCATCCATTTTAATAGGCACTGACACTGCAGCTCTGTGTAGGGAGGGCATTGACTGAAGCTTCCTGATTCCTCCAGGTGATGGCTAAAAGGTCCTGTGTCCCCTCTGCCTCCCCAGGAAAGAGAGCAGCATGGCCAGTGTGCTGTCCCGGCGCCTCGGGAAACGGTCCCTCCTGGGAGCCCGGGTGTTGGGGCCACCCGGGGCTGCCCCACCTTCGGAGCCGCAGGCGGAGCTGCTGGAGGGGGTGGCTCCCCAGCCCTTCTTCACCTCCAAGGACACGTCCTGTCAGGAGCAGCCCAAGGAAGTCCTCAAGGCTCCCAGCACCTCAGGCCTCCAGCAGATGGCCTTTCAACCTGGGCAAAAGGTAGGATGGTGCCTGAGTGGACAGGTGCCCGACCTTCCCAGTCTTGTGGCCAGCAGGCCAGCGGTGCCCCGAGTAACAGGTGGGAACTCCCTGGGCATCGTTTTGTGTGCGTACGGACCTTTAGCTTGCCGCCCTGTGGGCCTGTGGGCAGCAAGCTTCTCGAGAGAATGAGTCGTCAGCAGCGGACCCAGGACTCCTCCCTGACTGACAGTGCTGCCTGGAGAAAAGGCTGGCGAGACCTGACATCTGATTTTCTGGGCTTAGACCTACTCAACAGTTTCAAGCATGGCCAGAGCCCAGTTTTTCTTAACTTGCCTCAGTTTGCAACTTAACAAAACAAAGGGAAGCATCTCAGGCTTATGAGAGACAGATATGGTTGTGTCTTCGAATTACTTTTAGAAGTTTTTAAGAGAGGAAGGTGTTCGTTTAGTCAGAATACTATTTGGTCTTTCTTTTCCAGTGTTTCTCCCCTTGTGTCAGGGCCTGTACCTGGTAGTATCACTAGATCCAGGTGCGTGGGCTTCTCTTTCATTGCCTTCTCCAGGGTCCATAAGTCGACTCTACCTCTTGTCTCCCTGCTGAGGCTTCTGTTTCCCACAGCTCGCTTCCCCAACTGCTCGGCACCCCTTGAGAGAAGACAGCCTACCTCTCCATCCCTACCATCTTGTCCCTAGGTAGACTAGAAGCTCCTGAAGGGCAAAATGCAAGGTGAGTAATTCAAGGCAATAGTTGTGAACCAGCAGATCTATAGGACTTTGGAGGCAATGTAGGGCAAGAATTCCGGAGGATGGACACGGATTCCAAATTCCTTTGATTGGAATTTAACTCATTGGAGAATTTAACTCATTTACATTTAAAGTAATGATTGGTAGGTAAGGACTTACCGTTGTTACTTCCTTTATTATATTCTGACTGTTTTGTAGTTCCTTTGTTCTTTCTTCCTCTTTTGCTGTCTTCCTCTGAGGTTTATTATTTTTTTTCAGAGTCATGCTTTGATTCTTTTTAATTTTTTGTGTATCATCTAGAGCAGCAGTTGCCAACCTTTCAGACCTCACAGACCAGTGGTCCGTGTACCACCGGTTGGCGACTGCTGAACTAGAGGTTTTTTTTCTGGTTGCCGCAAGGCTTACAGAAAACTGTCTATTTTAAGATGATAACTTAAGTTTCAATGAATACAGATTGTAAGTTCAGAAGAAAAAAATCTCAGAAACTGACATGTTCACTTTCTCCATATAGAGCAGTTGTTGCCAACCTTTTTTTTGGCCATGCCCCACCTAAGCACCTGTAAAACCACTCCCCTCCCCCTGTGACATATAATTCTTATTATTCAAATAGTGAACTATTCACCTGCAGGAAGCCTAAAAGGCCATTAACTTGGTCTAAACAAGCTTTCAAAGAACATGACATCCATGAAAGAGAAAAATGAAAGTACAAAAGGACAGTTGAAGTACCTAGGAAGAAATCACTAAGATATTATTAAAAAAAATAATATGAAGTGATATGATAAAATAGCAAATAAAATTTCAAAACATATAATAGAGAACTGAAATGCATAAATAGGTCACAATATGTATTTATATGATGTATATGAGGCCCCTAGAACCCTAAGACATGCAAAAAATTCACTGTTAATGGCTCATTCTCGAATGGCCCCCCCTTAAAAATCAAGTTGCTCCCCCTGTGGGGCGTGTGCCCCACATTGGGAACCACTGGTGTAGAAAGTTTATAAGGATCTGCTTTGGGAAGAACCAATCCACTGGGGGCTCAGGTGAGAAGCAGATACCTGGCAGCACCTTGTTTAAATTACAGCCGAGTCGGGGACTTTAGTTGGTGTCAGGTGGATCCCAGGACTTCGGGCCTGTGGGGTAAGAACTACTAAGAGCTGACCCCGGTTGCTGCTTTTCTCTCCCACCAGGTGTATGTGTGGTACGGGGGGCAAGAGTGCACAGGACTGGTGGAGCAGCACAGTTGGGCAGAGGACAAGGTGACGGTCTGGCTGCTGGACCAGAAGTTACAGATCTGCTGCAAAGCGGAGGAGGTGTGGCTGGCCGAGCTGCAGGGCCCCATTCCCCAGGGGCCACTTCCGGAGCAGGGAGCCCAGGCGCAAGCCTACAGGCCTGTCTCCAGGAACATTGACGTCCCCAAAAGGTTTGTGGGGGAGAACCGTGGCTCTGAAAATCATGTGGGTGGGGAGGAATGGGGTTGTGGCATGTTTTGTGATGGGGGAGGAATGTGCAAGTCCTAGGTGTCTAGTTGTCAAGATATTGGACAAATGGGACGCAGAGAGAAGAGACGGCATCCCTTAGGCACACCTGGAATGGTACCTGTTCTGCTATGTTTTTGGTTTGACTAAGGCCGTGGTCGGCAAACTGCGGCTCACAAGCCACATGTGGCACTTTGGCCCCTTGAGTGTGGCTCTTCCTAAGCCTTAGGAGTACCCTAATTAAGTTAAAAACAATGTACCTACCTATATAGTTTACGTTTAAAAAATTTGGCTCTCAAAATAAATTTCAATCGTTGTACTGTGGATGTTAGGCTCTGTTGACTAATGAGTTTGCCGACCACTGGGCTAAGGGGTGTTTTTCCTCTCTTCATACTTAGATTCAAATTAGGTCTTAGTTTTTCACGATGAGAGACAGAAAAATGGCTTAGATCAGGAATCGGTGAACTTATTCTGAATGGGCCAGATAGTAAGTAGGGTAGGCTTTGCGGGCCATGGGGCCCCTATTCCAGAGACTCCGCTCTGCTGTGGTAGTGTGAGGGCAGCCACAGATAAGGAAACACACAGGCACGCTGTGCGCCAATAAAACTTTATTTGTGGACACTCAGATTTCGATTTTATCTAGTTTCCGTGTGTCACATGTCAAGAAATAATACTCTTCTTTTGATTTATAAAACCATTAAAAAATTATAAAACCATTCTTAGCTTGGGAGCCATACAGAAGCAGGCGACAGGCCACATTTGGTCCACAGCCCATAGATTGCTGACCCCTCGCTTAGACATTCAAAACCATTGATTTTAAAAAAAATTTATTTATTTTTCAATTACAGTATATGTTCAGTATTATTTTGTATTAGTTTCAGGTGTTCAACATAGTTCAAAACCACTAATGTTGAAAGCAGACTGTGTGAATGTATATCTGGCTTTAGAATTTTATGATACCATTTTCCCCTGAGGGGGAATATTTGTATATATACCTCTCTCCTAGTTTCTGTTACATACTCTTTATACATTGATCTTTTAAAATTAAAAAAGAAAACCTGCCAATGGAGATCGTCTTCTATCCAGGATGTGCATGCAGTTAAGCCTCATTGCACCTCTTTCTGTGCTTGTCTGTGGGCAATACTGCCATTGACAGTACACCCAGAATATTGAGACCAGACCAGAGCAATAGTATTTGTGATTGTGAATTCAGAGGAATGTTGGCAAAGAACTTGTTTTTCTACTCGGTGGAAATAAAAATACAAAGATCACGTATAACAAAGGGATGCTAATATGTTTAACATATTACTGGCCTTCGTTTAACTGCTTCAAACCCAGTCACACATTTCGGTGGCTCTGAATTGTAAAGAAAGGATTATTACAGTCCTTTGAAATAGATGAGCTACCTACAAATTTATTTCAGACAATTTTTCATATGTTAGCATTAACTTATAGAAGCTCTAAATTTACTTCCACATAATGTAACTTTATATGGATTTAAAAGAAAATCGCATGTAAGAATTTATAGACCTCTGCTGTATAAAGCATTGAGATTTACTTTAGTGCTTCTGGTTTACTCACTCATTGCTTATGTTCTAGGTTCTGTTGACATTCAGAAGCTAACAGAATTCCTCATCATTTTTCTTGGGGGAGGGGAAAGGGATTGGTTAGTGTAATTGTTTCCTCTTAAATTTAAGATGGGGCAAGAAAGGTAATTTTAGTGCTTTCGAATTCTAGTGGGCATTCTTTTTGTCCATGCTCTCTTTCATTGCTTTGACTCTCCTTCCTTCCCGAGAAAATACAGTTCTCTATTTTAAGCTGCAGAGTGAGTTAGGAAGTGAATCCAGGGGAGAGAATGGAGTTGCCTCCGGGTGTCAGCAGTGGGATGGGGACCGAGCCCCTTAGGCTGGGGTTGACTGGTACTATAAACGTAATCCAGAATGAGCATTTTTCATGAAGAATGAGGGGAGACCTTCATGCTTTACTTAATGTACACGCTGGCTGATTGGAGTGGGGATGAGGAGGGAACAGCCCAGATAGGTAATATAATCACATGACCAGCAGTGCCAGGATGTAACCTCTGGCCCTCACCTGCTTGAATCCAGGAAGTCCGAGGCGGTGGAAATGGACGAGATGATGGCGGCCATGGTGCTGACGTCCCTGTCCTGCAGCCCGGTCGTGCAGAGTCCTCCTGGGGCCGAGGCCAACTTCTCTGGTGAGGAAGGGAGTCCACGTGGGTTCTGGGTGTGGCAGAGGCTCGTCACTCACGTCCTCTGCTCTGAGCAGCTAGTTGCCAACGGACTGGCCTGGCACCAGGATTCCGGAGTCCCTTCTTTCTTGTGTCCCAGACTGGCTGAGTGACACTGAGTTGGATGCTTCCGTTCTTTTTCCTCAGTTTCCTCCTCTGGGGAGAAGTTTCCTGGTGCATTGTGAAGATGATTGAGCACGGGCCTGAGCCACACTGGCCACTTGAGTAAGTTCTTCTATGGGAGTAAGTGAGTGAGGCACTTTGGTGGGGCCTGAACCAGGCCCGCAGAGGAATATTTGGTTCACAAAGGCAGGAACTTTCTAAACGGTCCCCTAGTGGCCTCAGAAGATTCACGCCCCTGTTCCAAGTGCCTAAGTCAGCCTTGTAAATCAGCGTGGGCCTGCCGGCCAAGGACCTAGAATAAACAAGCCGAAGTCTAAAGTTAATCTGATCGCTTCATGCAAAGCGATGGAAGGACTTCACAGCAAATTGACAGATTAAAGGGAAATTCTTCTGGTGCGACCCCCAAAATACACCGTCAGTAATATGGGGGAGGAAGAAGGGTTGCTGGATATTAGTAGTTTGGCAAGACTGGTGGTGAACCTGAATGTTTCATTTGGAAAGTCGCTATGGGGCTGGCCTGACTTACTCCCAGGGAATAACTTCTTCATTGGTGAGATCTAA